CTCCTCCTCCTCCTCCATTCCAGTCCGTATGTCCCTTGGGACCTTGTGTCCGCTCACCCTGGGGTACAAACCCAGTTGCACATGCCATCCGATTCGGCAGGGGTGACGGTCGGGAAGTACTGCGCGGTGACGGGGTGAACCGGCTGTCCCCCTACGCACCTCGCCGTCTCGGTTGGGCAGCGAGTCGCTGAGCGACGAGGTATCTGCCTTTCCCCTGACCGTCGGTGCTGGCGCCTGCGGGTCCCTTCCTCCTGTCTGGGGGGCCGAGGGTGACGGTTGAGCTTCGTTCGCCGTTCACTTCTTGGATCTACGACTTTCATGACACTCCTCCTCCATTCCTTCTCCTTAGAAGCAGCTGCTTTCTGTCGCACCCCGAGGCCAGTTTTTAGGGCGGGCCTGGCGTTTCGCCCGAGACTTCCTCATCATCTATGACACTGAAGCTCAAACATTGGCAACGGTTTTGCAGATGGAGGGCAGGTGGTTTTCAAAATGTGGCTCTCGCCTCAGCGCTGCGCGCATTCGTTGTTATAATTTGAAAGAGCTTCACGGATTGAGGGCGACCCGTTTTCAAAATGTGGCTCCGGCCGTGGCGTTGCACACATGTGTTGCCAAGATATGGAAGAGCTTCGCGGATTGAGGGCGGCTTCTTTTCAAATTACGGTTCTCGTTTCAGCGCCGCGCGCACTTGTTTATTACATGTGTAAGTGTGCTTCCGTTTGTTTGGGAAGGATCCAGGCTTGTGCGGCGACAGCAGTTATTTTGGCTCGCGGTGTTGAAGTCCCAGGAATGCGTTCTGAGTACGATTCAGGATCATCAAGACGCAACTGTCATGTTGACCCGCGGCGTGGACATCCCGAAAACAATGTATTGGCATGCTTCAGAGTCTTGGCCGAAGACGAGCCCCGTGGACGCCAGAGTCGGATTTCGAACACAATCTCGTCGGACATCTGGAAAGCGCACGCGCCGCGCATCGCGGGGGCGCGATGCGCGCTGGCGCCGTCTGGGAACGCCCTGGGATCATTCCCAGGCTGCGCCAGCGCGATTCGTGACGTGACCAGGGGTCGGGATGATCGAACTGCGTACGGAAACAAAGGGTGCACAGTCCAACAGCAGCCTTTGCTCATTCGGAGCAGGGCGCGCTGTCGGACTCGCTGCGGTCGCTGTCCATATTCAGGACAGAAGGCCGCCTGCCCAACAGCGGCCGCTGCCGGTTTTGGACAACGTTTTTTGTTGGGCATCGTACCCATGTTTTTGGTACCCGTCTCGGGCGTCCACGGGGGGGGGAGGAGGGAACGGGTGGGAGGATCAGGAGTAGGAGGAGGAGGAGGGGGGAGGAGGAGGAGGGAGGAGGAGGAGCGAGGAGGAGGAGGAGGAGGAGGACGGAGGAGGAGGAGGAGGGAGGCTGGGGGAGGAGGAGGAGGAGGAGGCGGAGGAGGAAGGAGGAGGAGGAGAAGGTGTGAGAGGAGAGGAAGAGGGGACAGAGGGACGAAGACGAGGAGGAGGAGGAAGGACGACGACGAGGAGGCGGAGGAGATGGAGCGAGGAGGAGGGGGGAAGGAGGAGGAGGGGAGGTGGTGGGAGGAGGGAAGGAGAGAGGAGGAGGAGTGAGGAGGAGGAGGAGGAGGAGAGAGGAGGAGGTGAGGAAGAGGAGGGGGGAGCGAGGAAGGAGGAGGAGGAGGCAGGAGGAGGCAGAGAGGAGGAGGAGGGAAGGTGAGGAGGAGGAGGAGGAGGACAGGAGTAGGAGGAGGAGGCGGAGGAGGAGGAGGAGGAGGAGCGCAGGAGGCGGGGGAGGGGAGGGGCGGGGGAGGGTGAGGGGGAGTCGGGGAGGGGGAGGGGAGGGGTCGAGGGGGAGGGGGAGCGGGGAGGGGTGCAGGGGGAGGGGGAGGGGGAGGGGGAGGGGTATGCCTGGGGGAGGGGGAGGGGGGAGGGGGGAGGGGGAGGGGGAGGGGAGGGGAGGGGCTGAGGGGGAGGAGTGAGGAGGAGGAGGAGGAGGAGGAGGAGGAGGGGAGTGAGGGAGGAGGAGGAGGAGGAGGAGGAGGAGGAGGGGGAGGGGGTTGGCCACGGGCTTTCTTCGAGTGATGTAGAGCCGGGCCTGTGGCCCGGCGCCGCGCGGCCCTCCCGAGGAGGGCGCGCCGCTGGGGCCCCGCAGGCTCGCGCTCGCCCGCAGCAGGCTGGCGCTGGCCCAGAGGCTCGCGGCGGAGCGCGGAGGGGGCGACCCCGACGGGCTCGTGGCAGGCTCTCGAGGATCGGGTCGGGCGAAAGGGGGGGGATTGGGAAAGGGGCGGGGTTGCGCTCGCGAAAATCTGCTACATGCAGCTGGTTTCGGCCTCACCGAGGGGCCAATTCCTCGATACATGGGCGCCTCCCGGCGCCGGGAGGCGCCGGGAAAATCAGCTACGTGAGCTGATTCTCAAACCCCCCCTTTGCTATCCCCCCCTTTCGCCCGACCCGAGAGGAAGAATCGGGGATCGGGAGCCTTGAGACGGGGGTCAACGCAAACGGGGGTCAGCCAGAGCGCCCCGGCCTTGCAGGATCCTGCAGGGCCAGGGTCGCATTGACCCGGGTGTGGGTGCAGGATCCTGCAGGATCCTGCAGGATCCTTCGCACTGACCCGGGTTTGGGTGCAGGATCTTGCAGGATTTTGCAGGATTCTGCAAGGCCTGACTGACCCGGGTCTGGATTGACCCGGGTCAGAGGACCCCCGAGGGGAAACGTAAGACTCGAGTTCAAGCAGTGGTTTTCCCCTCCTGTGCAATTAAAAGCTGTGCGCGGCCCGCTCAGCTTCGACCGGAAGAGGCTCGCGCTCGACCCGCGAAACAAGAGTTCAAGCAGTGGCGAAGCGTCCTGGCTCGCCTATAATGGCCCTACCAAACAATGTTCTAAGAGCCTTTTTGTGGTTTCCACGAAATGGTCTTAGAGCATGTCTGGTTGATATGGTTTTGTTTTAGCACATCGGGTTATGTTATTAGAGCACTGTTTTGTTCTTAGAACATGTTTGGGTTCTAAGAACATTTCGTGGTAGGATTATAGGAATGCTGGGACGGTCGGTCCCTGCTCAACGAGTATGCTGGAACTCGGGTTTGCCGGCGTTTTTTGGCGAGCGCGTCTCGCATTTTTACGTTCCAGTCTTCGTGGGATGCTTGCAGCGGGAACTCGCGTCAAATTTCGGACGGGGCCTCGTAATTTTCATGGTGGCTCCGTCGGGCCAATCCGAGTCCCCCGAACCCGAGTCTTACGATTCCCCGGAAGAAGAAGAAGACTTACCCATCGGTCGTTGAAAGTAGGTCTCCTTGTATTCCAGATTCCAATCTGCTTCAAGCGCCTTACGACTTCAAGGATCGGGTGGCTTCACCTTCTCCTTCCTCCTTATGGGGGGCGGGCGGACACCCAATCTACGTTCAACGCCTTCCTACTTCGTGTATCGACCTACTTCTTCCGACCGATGGGCAAAAACTGCCTATAAAGGCAAGGTGTCGACGGTCCGCGCGAAGTCCTTGGATCTGCACTGGACCCCCGGGGGTCCAAGTGCAGATCTAAGAGATTCGCGCGGAGCGTCGACAGTTCATGCTCGTGCAGCTTTCCCTTCCTCTCTAGGCTCGCAGCGGCGCTTGGCCCTGCTCGAGTCCCGGTGGGACCTGGCGAGGACCCCGCACCCGGCACCTCCACGGCTCCTCTTTCGCTCGGGCGGGTGGTAATGTGGGGTGGCCCACACTGGGGGTGAAGAAGCAGGCCCTGACGGGGCCCTCTTGGGCTCCGTGGAGCCGGTTGGTACCCATGAGGGGCCCTAGAGAGCCCCTTCAGAGTCTTTTTCTGAACCCCCTATTTGGGTCACCCCCCATTGCCACCCGCCCGACTCGCGCCGTGCGACAAAAATCACGGCGGATGGTTTCTGAGCCGTTCTCGGCCTTTGGGGGCCCTCGTGGGACCTGGCGAGGCTCCCGCACAGGATACAGTGAGCGGCTTGAGTAAGGAACACATACTTTTCAAAAGGGGCTCGGTCGTTCCGTAGGCTTGCATGCGTTATTTACAGCTACTTATGCGTTATTAGTTATTTCTCGATCCTTATGCGTTATTCCTTGGGATAAAAAAGGGGCTTCGTTCCTTATTTATCGTTCCTTAGGTCAGGCCGATGACTGTAACCCCATATCTACGACGAACTTGAGGTCCGGTCGCTGCAACTTTCTCACCCCTGGCGTGTTCGCGCGGTCTCGAGCCCCCAAAGGCTGGCGCAGATCGGTGCAGCTGGAAGAATGCTGCAGAACGATGGGGTGTTCGGGTCGGATAACCGCGGCCCCCCTTTAACCCCTGACGGTCTGTTATCCCCGGCCACTGCAGGTTCGGTGGGGGGAGAGGGGCGGCAAAGCCGAACTTTGCTATCGCGGGGAAAGATTGCTGATCGAAGTGGCTATCTTCTCATGCTGACTCGCAGCATCATCAAAAACGCGTGGCATGGCAATGGGGGTCTCACCAGGTGCGAGATCTCGAGGGGAGCCAAAGACCGTCAGAGCGAGGATCTAGAGGAGCGCCCAGGATCATCATCATCATCATCATCATCATCATCATCATCATCATCAGCATCAGCATCAGCATCAGCATCATCATCATCATCATCATCATCATCATCATCATCATCATCATCATCATCATCATCATCATCATCATTCGATCTGCCGGGAAACGTCTATTATCCCCCCTGGACCTCCAATTTTTATTATCCCCAGGGGATCAATATCAGGGGCATGCGGTTATGATTGTGTCAGTTTGGGCGTTCCTCCCCGGGATCCCGGCCTCTGAGCCGTGTATCGTGCCCTGGGGCCCGCGATCGGTTCAAGGTTGAACAATCGACGCGGCGTTAAAAACCTTTGCGCGCGCCGACGCCGCACGAAGCTGCCGCACCGACTCGAGGCTGACTGACCTTGCCCTTGGCATCGCTCGGGCGTGTGCATGTTTCCCGGCTGGAACCATCGAGGAGCATCCTGGATCATGGAGCCAGAAGAGCACGCACGATCCCGAAACAGGAGGGAGGAGGGAGGAGGGAGGAGGAGGAGGGAGGAGGAGGGAGGAGGGAGGAGGAGGAGGAGGAGGAGGAGGAGGGGGAGGAGGGGGAGGAGGAGGAGGAGGAGGAGGAGGAGGAGGAGGAGGAGGACGAGGAGGAGGAGGAGGAGGAGGGGAACGGGCGTTCGAGCGATGGCGAGTGCCTGACCTGGCCAGCGCCCTCCCGGGCTCCAGCTGCGCTGCTCTGGCCCTCGGAGGCCTCGGCAAAGGAGGCCCGCGGCACCCCCTGGCAGGGCCCCGGCCAGGCACGGCCCCTGGGCATCCGCCGGCATGATCGAGCAGGGGACCGACTACAGAAGAGATCTACCCAGACATGAATTCTAGACGTTTCGCGTAACCCCATACGGGTCCGCACGCTTCGCATGCAATTAGCCTTGATCCGTAGTCCCGGACATCGCCTGTTGCCGCCAGACCGTGGTCGCGCGGCCGCCGACCAAAAAGTAATCCCATACCGGAATTTAGTTCATTTTGTTCTGTGCATGTGCAACTGCGAGTTTGTCTTGCAGGTGCGAGCTTTGTCCGCCGACTCTGGCGGCAATTGTCTTGCAAATTAGGCCCGTACCGTGTCCCGGACGCCGCTTCCGCTCTCTGACCGTTGCCTGGGAGCCGCCGACCCTAAAAAAGTAATTCCATACCAGCCCATCCAGAAACGATGCCCAGAGGAGTTGCCTCGATCAGAGAAGTGGGCAGCACGCAGAGGAAGGGTCCCCCAGTGTAGGCCTCTTAGAGCGTCTTGGGGGCCTCTCGGGAGTTCCGGAGGCCTCTGGGGGCGTCTTGGGTGCCTCGGGGAATTTCTTGGGGCCTCTTGGGGGTCTCTTGGGAGCCTCTTGGAGGCATCGTGGGCGCCTCTTGGGGCCTCCTGGGGCCTCCTGGGCGCCTCTTGGGGCCCTCTTGAAGCGATCTTGGGAGCCTCGGGAGAGCTCTTGGGGCCATCTTGGAGGACATCGATCAAAGAAGAGGGGAGCTTTAACTAGCGGGACTCCCCAAAAGGCCAACATGGGCCCAAAACCTTGGTAAATCCAGTGATTTGGGCTTCCTCGCTGCGGCCGTTCTGGACGCCCTGACACCTCGCGACCGGCCCTGTCCAGATCAAGAGGAGGGCGTAGGGGGAGGGGTCAAGCTACCCACCCGCCCGCAAGCCGTCTAGCTCACTCCCACCCGCCCTGCGTCTCGGCCGAACACCCCCCGCTCCTTTGGGGCGTGCCCCCGCCCCGCACTCACCGCGGGCGCGCGGGGGGTCCGCACTGGCCGCAAGGGGGCGTGGCAGCCTGGGGGTAAGTAAGGGGCGGGAGAAAAAAAAACAAAAAAAAACACCCGAACTTGAGCATGTTCAGCGGTCGTCTTTGGATGGGCAGCTACTGGGAACCCAAGCCGACCCCATGTGCGCGGCGCGTGGGCGAGGTGCGCCACGCTTGGGCGAGGTGCGCCACGCGCGCCAGGCACCCCTGGGGCCCGAGCGTGCCAGGCACGCCTGGTGCGCCAGATGCGCCACGTGCTCCGAGTGCGCCAGGTGTGCCGCACACTCCAGCGGCGCCATGTGCGCCACGTTCGGGGCACGTGCAGAGTGCGTCAGGTGCGCCTGCGCACGTGACAGCACACATCGGGAAACACGTCGGCCCCTGCCATCCTTGTCGAAAACCAATGTCCATCATTGTGTCTGGTTGGCCTGCGCACAGCAGGCCACGCGCCACCACCCCCGCCGTCCTTGTGAAAAACCACCCGACAGTGATCGCGGGATGGCCGCGCACGATCGGGATTTAGCCGCGAGGTGCATGTTGTACTGTTTTTTTTCAGGGGTGGTGGCCCTGCGCGCAGCAGGGAATATGCTGACACCCCCGCCGTCCCTGACAAAAACAAATCAAAGTGCTCGCGGGCCTCACGAACATGACTCAAGACT